CCCACCCGTCAGACGCCCTGGTCTGGGTCACAAACCCACAGCGCCACCCGGGACAAGAGGACAGCAGCCAGAGCCAGGGGCTCCCTGGAGCGTCTGCGGCCTGGGCAGACAAGGGAGGTCAGCTTCTGAATTCGGTGGCACTCACCCCATCAGGGCTTGGTTTGGCATGCCGGCCGTTTGCCGGCTCCACCCCGACCCCTCGCGCCCCCATGGGTCACTGTCTCTGGTCCCTTGTGAGGTCTGCTCTCCATTCGCGGGAGGGCCAGCAAAGCTAGCGTGCCTACCCGGTTTCCCTGTCTCCCTACCTCAAGCACTGACCCTCTGCCCCAAAGCAGGGGCAAGAGGACCCTAGTTTTAGTGATGGCAAGATGTGGCCTCAAGGAAAAGCGGTGCTGGGGTGTGACTGGGGTACAGGCAGCACACGCGGCCGCCCTGCCGCCCCCTTTCCACCACAATAGGCATGACGTGGCTCCTCAAGTTCGCAGCAGGCCTCTGGATTGGACTCCCATGGAGCCCACGCCCTAGGGTAAGGCTTGGAAGAGTCAAGGCCAGGCCAGAGCTGACACCTGTGTCGTTTGCTGCCTGGTTAGAATGGGGGGAGGGGTGGCCGCAGGACCAGGCAGTCCCCACAAGGAGGGGACGCTGGGGCATGGGAAATGCTTCCACTCCTGGGACTCACCTAGACAGGAATCCATGTGCCCTGCCCAGCCCTGGAAAGGTTCCCCAGACCCTGGAACTGAACTCACCCAACTTTCTGGGGCACCTCAATATTCAGGAGCCTCTCCAGGTAACTGTGACCTGAGGGGAAAACAAAGGAATGAATGATGCCTCAGAAACTGGCCAGGTGTCACTGCTAGTGGTGCCGGGAGCCATGTGCTGGTTGGAGCTTGGCCACTCTTCATCTACAGCCAGACCTCTCCTCCCCAGAGACCACCCTTCCCTTCACCGGGTACAGAGACCCTGCCTGCCTGAGCAAATTCCCTCTGCTCCTAGCATCCTCGATAGAGCTGCTGGCTTTATGTCTCCTATTCCCTAGCTGGCAACCTGGGCCCATCTGAGAGCACACCTTGGCTCCTTCACCGGGCCGGGAATACCTTGGGAAGAGAAACCATGTCTGCCTCCAGGTCCCCAACATCCAGCATGGGGTCCAACACAAAGCAGCTTATTCATTCAACAATTATTCTTTGAGGGCCTGCTATGTACCAGGCCCTGAGGCCCTGGGGACCCAACAGTGAGAAAGACCAACAGAGCCACTATGTAGCCTACATAACCATCCAATAATCCTGTAAAAGACACGTGGTATGTGTGATGACAGAAAAGAGCAGAAGATTTTGAAAGGCTACGGGGAGCCGAACTGGTCTAGAGGCTGGGACGTGAAGGAAAAGACGGTCACAGACAAAGGGGGAAGAGTTGAGAGAGAGAGAAGGACATCCAGGCCAATTGTCCCCAAAGGCTATTTTCAGACTCCTGAGAGTCAAGTGCCCAATCAGGGGATCGATGAGGTCTTAACTATTTCCACCCCAACACGAAAACGTAATTTTCCCCTCTGTGCTGTGCTTTGCCCTGAGAGCGCAAAAGCAATGAAGCTGTGCTAGGTGAGAGTCTGAGCACCAAACAGGTTGTGAAACCAGACGACCCCACGCTCGGCACAGAAAAGTCCAAATTCACTTAAGAATGTCCTTGATGAAAGAGTAAAAACCATGAATTTTATTAAATCTAAACTTAAGTACCCTCTGTGTGGTAGAGTGGAGAGTATGTGCAGCGCCCTCTGCTATAAACTCCTGTCTCTGGAAAGCGCTCATGTTTGAATTCCCAGCTCAACTAGCCGTTTTTTTCATGGAACGATTTTTAATTGAAAAGGCAACCGACAAACCATAGTTATTCAATCTTGGATATTTGGTAGACATTTTCTTTAAAAATGAACAAAGTTAGTGGTCACCTAAAAACAACGAATAAGGGGGGCCTGGGGAGCTCAGTCAGTTAAGCATCCGGCTTCAGCTCAGGTCATGATCTCACGGTTTGGGGGTTTGAGTCCCGCATTGGGCTCTCTGCTGACAGCGTGGAGCCCACTTCAGACCCTCTGTCGTCCTCTCTCTCTCTGTCCCTCTCGCACTCACTTTCTCTCTCAAAAATAAACATTTAAAAAAAAAAATTTTTTTTAACGTTTATTTATTTTTGAGACAGAGAGAGACACAGTGTGAACAGGGGAGGGGCAGAGAGAGAGGGAGACACAGAATCTGAAACAGGCTCCAGGCTCTGAGCTGTCAGCACAGAGCCTGACGTGGGGCTCGAACTCACAGACCGTGAGATCATGACCTGAGCCGAAGTCGGACGCTTAATCGACTGAGCCACCCAGGCGCCCCAAAAATAAACATTTTTTAAAAAGAACCATGAATATCTGCTATCAATAATTAAAAAATGATTTCCCGCCCCAAAATAGAATTTCGAAAACTATGTATACATGGCCAGAAGCTTCGTAGCTTCCCAATACCTACAGACTTTTCTGATGAGATGGGAAAACAAATGTGCTCCTTTTAAAAAAATAGATGATGAAGGGTGTCGACATTAGGCAGATGTGCATAACTCAGTGAGACAGCATTTTCCAAACGATCAAGGCATGAAGCTACAAAACTGCACGTGGAGAAAAGTTGCACTCAAAGTGCAAGAGGGGTGCCTGGGTGGCTCAGTAGGTTAAGCCTCCGCCTCTTGATTTCCACTCAGGTCGTGATCTCGCAGTTCGTGAGTTTAAGCCTCACATCGGGCTCTGCACTAACAGCACGGAGCCTGCTTGGGATTCTCTCTCTCCCCCTCTTTCTGCCCCTCCCCCTGCTTTCTCTCTCTCTCTTCCAGAAATAAATAAGTAAACATGGAAAAACTAAAAAAAAGAAAAGTGCAAGACGGTCCGAGGTGGGACCAATGACAGTTTCTGATTCCACCCTGCAACGAGCCTTTAAGAAGCTACCACTGGTGGTGTTGAGCATGCACGAATTATCTGGGAAAAAAAAAACAAAGCACGAATATGCACAATTATCCAAAAAGACGTTTACAGTACTCCTTTCTTTTCCAACTGCGTATCTGTGTGAGGCCAAGTTTTCTTCATATGCTTTAGCCAAAACAACACAACACAACACGGGGAGTGCAGAATCTGCTGTCTTCCTTCAAGCCATACGTTAAAAACATCCGCGAGACGTGGAAGAGTGGCAGCCTCCTTACTACAGTTTTGTTTTGGAAAAGAAGTATTTTTGTCATAATCAAAACAAAACAAAACAAAACAAAAAAACTAGGGACGCCTGGGTGGCCCCGTCGGCTAAGCGTCCAACTTCGGCTCAGGTCATGATCTCATGGTCCGTGGGTTCGAGCCCCGCGGCGGGCTCTGTGCTGACAGCTCGGGGCCTGGAGCCTGCTTCGGATTCTGGGTCTCCCCCTCTCTCTGCCCCTCCCCTGCTTGTGCTCTGTCTCTATCTCTCAAAAATAAATAATAAACATTAAAAGTTTTTAAAAAATCTAACGTTGATAGATAATAGGTGTGTTGTTTTTTTTATATCAGAGTATTAAATAATACTTTTAACCTTTTTTTTGGAATGTTTATTTATTTTTGAGAGAGAGAGACAGACAGACAGTGCGATTAGTCGGTTAGACTGAGCCACCCAGGCGCCCCAATACTCTTAATCTTTAATATCAAAATATTACTAGAGAAAATAAAATTAGATAATACTGAAATTTTTTATTAGTATTTTTTTAGGGGCGTCTGGGTGGCTCAGTTGGTTAAGCGTCCAACATCGGCTTAGGTCATGATCTCATGGTTTGTGAGTTTGAACCCCTGTCAGGCTCTGTGCTGACGGCTCAGAGCCTGGAGCCTGCTTCGGATTCTGTGTCTCCCTCTCTCTCTGAGCCTCCCCCGCTCACTCTCTGTCTCTCAAAAATAAATTAAAAACACATTAAAAAATTGTTTTAAATATTTTTTTAAAGTAGGCTCCTCGCTCAGGGCAGAGCCCAACACAAGGCTTGAACTCACGACCTTGAGATCGAGACCTGAGCCGAGATCAAGTGACGGATGCTTAACAAACTGAGCCGCCCGGGCGCCCCTCCGTTTTAATTTCTAATACAGTGAACTATCAGTGTCTAGAACCCTCACAATCAAGAGCTCTTTGGGGTCTTCAATAATTTTCAAGACTGGGAGCAGGTGCTGAGACAGAAGGTTGAGAGCTGCTGGTCTAGGCAGAAGGCCATGAGGCAGGAAGGGGGGCGGGGGGAGTTTGCGAGGTGAGGCTGAGAGGCAGCTGGGGTGAGGCCGGCTGGGGCCCAAGGGTCTAAGGGAAGGAGGGAAGATGAACAAGGGGCTGGAGCAGCAAACCACGAGGCCCAAAGGGAACAGCAGCAGGACCCTGCTTCCGGGGGTAGGGGGAAGCCAGGCCTGAGCCGACGGGAGGGGGCAGTTTGGGTCCAGGCCTACAATCAAGGGAGGTGCCTGCTCCCACTGGCGGGGGGCCAATAGCCAGAAAGGCTCCCCTCACGGCCCACCCCAGCTCCGTGCTGGCCGCTGAGGGAGCAGAGGGATGAAGAGAGGCCCGTGTGACCACACAACTATTCCACTGGAATGTCAAGTGCCATCTGCGTGCCATTCGGGCCTCGGGCCCAGGGTGGGGGCAAGGGAGATGGCGTGAGGCCTGGCAGAGGGCCAGATGGGCTGCTCCCCAATGCAGAGGTGGCCGGGGAACCCCAAAGAGGCGCCCCTCCTGAACAGCAGGACCCTCCAAAAACCCTGAAGCGGCTTCCGTCTAGCCGCTTCCGGGCCCACCTGTCCTCCCACCGCGGCACCATTTCTCTGCCCAGTGGCTCCCACCGGCCAACATGCGCCAGGCCAGGAGTGCGGGGGCATCAGCGCCCCTTCCCGGCAGCCCCTCGCCGCAGTGCTCCACACCGACTTCCGGAGGTTCCCCCACAGCGCCAGGCCTTCCAGGTCTCGCTTGCCCACAACCCTGCTGCAGGCATTTCCTGCTCCTCCAAAATGAACAAGTTGCACTCAAATCCTGACATCGAGGCTGCTTCTGGGGGAACCCAAACTAAGACCCCGCTTCCGAGTTTGCCCGGCCAGCCAAGCCCTCGGAACCTGGGCGTCAGGAAGGCCTCCGGGAAGCCTCTCTCCCCCACGGTTAAACACCCTGTGGCTCAATTCAGTTCAGGGGCAGCCTGGCCACAACCAGACTGAGCTTCGGGAACACAGGCTTCTTGGGTTATACCTTTTAAGAATGACTGAGCCTGTACCACATCCAAGCATTAAGATGGGCTCTCTACCCATATTCAAGGCAGGTGTTATCACCATTTAACAGATGGGAAAAACAAGGTCCAGAGAAAGGTGTGCCCAAGGTCACGGAGGCTGTGTGTGACTCCAGGGCTTAATCGCCATGTTTTACTGTCCCCCCCACCCCCCCGCCCCCGCAGTTTCCCTCTTCCTTCCACCTCAAGGTGGATGAACCCTGGCCTGGGAGTGAGACAGACTTGTCTAGAGTCTCTCCCCCGCCCTCCTTCCGGAGCTCCAGGCTGACCTGCTCCGTCACACTCTCCAAGGATCAGATTCAGGCCTGAGGTAACCACCAAGGCAAGTCAGAAATATCTCAGCCATGATGAGCATCCAAAAATGGCCCGTGTGCCAGATGCCCGGACTGCATGTCCTCAAGCCCCATGACCCAGAGCAAGCCCTTCCCCAGGTGGGGATGAAATCTGGTGAGGGGAGGTGTCCTTACCCACTGGACCAAGCCCCACTCCAGGGTTCCCCACAAGGCCTCCTCGGCAAGCAGCCGGCCACCCCGGAAAGGATGAATCGTGGGGCTCAAGCCCCGGTTTCCCAATGTTACAAATTCAGTGGCCACTGTAAGCTTCAGCTTCCTCCTGTGTCAAGTGGGGAAATGCTAACAGGCTAACAGTGTTTCGCAAGGGCCAAATGAGAACCTAGTGTTTTATAAATCTTGGAAGTGCCAGGCAGATGTTGCCTACTGTTCTAATATCCACTAACTTAAAACCTGGACCTTCTTCTCCAACAGCCCCACTGCCTCACTGTCCTCTGGCTGGACCCTGGAGACAGCCTCCTCCCTGGTCTCCCTGCCTCCTTCTCTCCCTTCCTTTTGGCCATTTTCCCCACGGTGCCAGGGACCTTTCAACGACCATCAAGGGGCCACATCCTCTGCATCAATGGGGTCAAGCCCAAGCCCCTTGTACGGCACATGAGCCCAAGAGACCCTATCTCTTGCCATTTCATTCCTCTGGGTCTTCGCACAAGCTGTTCCCTCGGCCAGGGATACCTTTCCCCACAATTTTTCCACCTGCCGAAAGCCCAGCCATCCTTCCTCGAAAGCCTCCCGGCTCAGACCCCACCTCCTCCACACAGCCAGCCCTGACTCTTAGAGCTGCCTATCCTCCTCCGTGGCTCCTCGCACCTGCTCCCACCGCAACCACGGTCCCCTGAGCTGGGACCAGAGGATGACAAAAATGGCTCACGTAACAGCTGAGGCCCACACAAAGAATTTTCTGTAACCTGCTCAAGGTCACAGGGCAGGTGAATTGCTGAGCTGGCACTAAATCCAGTTCTCTGTCCCTAAAGGAGCCTGCTGCCATGACAATCTACATCTCTTCCCCGCAATATCCCCAGCACAGCAGTTTGCTATCAGGAGGCCACAAACGCGGCCAATGTCCATGAGCCTCTGCAGGAAGAAAGCCAGACACGCTGGCCCTGGGTCAAAGGCCTCGGTTTGAGCCTCAGCACAGCCATTAACCACACTGTGGCCAATCTCCCTAGACCTCGGTTTCCTAATTTGTTTTCCAGATTTGCGCTGTCCAATACGATAGCCACTAGTTTAAATCTAAACTCAATAAAATGTAATAACTCTAAAAAATTCAGTTCCTCCATCACGCGAGCCACATTTGGGGGCTCAACAGCCACACGCAGCTAGCGGTGGTTTTGAGATGGGGCAGCATAGATATGGCACATTTACCCCATCGCAAAAAGTTCTAGGGACAGCTCCTTGCTAGATGGTTCCCCAGAGCCACTCCAGCTAAGCCAGGCACCAAGGACCATTCACCACACCCCTACCTCCTGTTGGGCCCCCAGACTCACAGATGATACGGGCGGAGGCAGCTGGCTCTTCAGTGGCTTTCTTGCCAATCCTTCTGCTTGACCTGCGGACTGGCTTCTCCTGTTTGGCCACCAGGGAGTACTTCTGGGCCAGCGAGACCTGGCGGCCCGGGGAGGACGGGGCAATCAGGCTGCGCCGCACGGATTGCGGGTCTATGTGGGCGCCCGTGGGCGTGGAGCAGTTATCGGGCAGGATGGGAGCCAGCACCCGCTCCTGCCACGGCGAGGCCGGAGAGCCCGCCAAATCCTGCGGGCCCGGGGAGGCCTGCGCAATCCTGAGCTTGGAGGCGGACCGGCTGGCTCCGCCCCCTCGGCCCTTGGGGTCCTGGGGTGTAGCCATCAGAGAGCTCACGGTGACAGACGCCAGTCTCCCAGCCTCCGGCTTCTGGGGTGTTGATTCCTCACCGGATATCAAGATGCTGTGGGAGGCGGGAGCCGTGGCTACAAGAGACGGAGTCGGGGAAGGAGCCCGGGCAGACTTGAGCCGGCCCAGGTGCAGCTCGGCACTCTGGCGCTCGCTGACGCCGATCTCCACCACAGGCACAAGCGGGCCCTGGGCCAGGCTATTTTCAGGCTCTTTGGCCAGCACTGTGGGAGACTCGGGGGTGGGCGAAGGAGCAGCCAATGCTATGGTGGCTGCCGCCGCCGCCGCGGCCGCAGCCCGGGTCACCCGCCGCAGGACGGAGCCGTTCTCCCCGACCACCGTGGCCAGCTTCTCCACCTTGTCCTTGCTGCGGAGGTGCCGGGAGCTCAGCTGGCTGCTCCGGGTCCTTCTGCGGGACAACCTGCTGGAGGCAGCAGAGCAGAGGCTGAGACAACCCAACGGGGCAAGGGGTACCCCCCGAAAGTCGAGCAGGGGGCACCAGTCTCCCCAGGAGCCACTAGCTTACATGGAGTAGGAACCGGAGGGCTTGGAGGCAGAAGACCAGCCGAGACCCGTGGCCGCTCCTCTCTTAGCCTGAGCCTCCTCGCCTATAAACTGGGATATTACCAGACCTCACAGAACTGCTGGGAAGACTAAAGTCATTACAAACTTCCCGCTGATTGAGGTCACACTGTGCCAAGCATCTCATTGGAGGCTCTACTCCACAAGGTGGCCCTGAGAGGCAGGGACCATCCTCCTCACCTTAGAGATGAGGAAACTAAGGCTTAGAGGTAGATAATGAACCCGAGGACACCCAGCTGTGCAGAGGCAGAGCTAGAATGCGTACCCTGGACCACCTGACCCCAAGACCCAGCCTCTTTCCCCCAGTACACCGCAGCCCACGGCCATTTCCATGGACGTTATCAAGTGCAGCAACAGGCAGAGCCCCTGGTCCATACCTCTGGCTGCTTTGACCCACGCGGAAGGATGGATTCTCTTTCTTCTCCCACCTCTGAAAAATCCTTCCCAACTCCAAGGCCCAAGCACACATACGTGAACATGCACACACACACACACACACACACACACACACACACA